TGAAGTTATATGCTGAAAAAATGCCCTTTTTTCTTGTTTAGAATAAGAATAAACATTATTCAAACCACATGAAAATAAATTTAGTGAAGTTATTCAAATTACAAAACTCCTTGCCGATAAATTAATTTTATTTTGTTGAAACATGCTATAATTTGAAAAAAAGGGTGTGTTCTAAATTACTGTTTTATCATCTTAAATTAGTTACTCAAGCTTGAAATCACTAACTTTTATATTTTTATCTTATTTTCTCAACAAACATGTTGTGAGTGACTTGTCTGTGAGGCCCTGTTCTCATCTCCTTATATGTATAGGAAAAAAATCAGACAAAGATCCCTGCTCTTGAGAAGCTTCTATTTCAAGCCATAGGAGATAGAACTTATGTAAATAATAGAGCAACAAAGTAAAGGGTACTTGGAAATGTGTGTGTGTGGTGATAAGAAGTGGAATATAGTTTTTAGTCGTATAATTAATGTAGGAATCATAAAAAAATGACATTCAAGCACACATTTGAAAAAGGTAAGAGATTTAGTTCTACCAGTTTCAGGGACAGGTATTCCAGACAGAGGGTCAAAAACCCTGAGGCACAAAGGATGGGTGGGGGAATAACAAGATATGAGCTCCAAGAGTAATGGGAAGCCAGATGATATATGGCATTTCATTGTGAATAAATTGGGGAACCATTACAGAATCTTGAGCAGAAGTGTCAGGATCTTACTTACATTTCAGAAAAGTCAGTCTGGGCACTGTGTTGAGAATGAAGTTTCAACACAATTGGGTAAATGCTAGCTAACCGGTAAAAAGTTTATCATGAGAAGTCAAGTAAAAGATTTTACTGGTTAGGCCAGGATGGTAATAATAGAGAAGATGAGATTCTGCACATATTTGGAAAATATAGTCAATTTGGTAAATTAGATGCAGAATGTAAGAGAGAAATAGGAGTCAATTTTAAAGTTTAGGACTAAACAGTTCAAGAAATACATTGCAATCAAACAAGGTAGAGATGGCTACTGGAGGATCAGTATTGGAGGAATAAGATGAAGAGTTGCATTTGCAGATGTTGATTTTGAGAGATTTATTAGATCCAGGTGAAAATGTTGAGGAAGCAGTTGGATATGTGACCCTGGAGTCTAAGGAGACAAGATAAGTTTCCAGACAGGAAATTTGCATATGTTTTGGATTCTTTGTGCTTAGTGTTGAAGAATGACTTGAAGTACTGAATTAAATTTAGAAGGAAGAGTGACAAAGTTACAAAGTCTCTGAAGTCTCTTGTTGTTTTCTCCAGTTTCTGTGTCATTTTAATTAGTGACCAGCAAATCAGAAAATTCTATATTTGAAAAAATTATTCATTTTTCTTAATATTATGTTATTTTAACTGTCTCTCAGATTTCACAGGACACATGTAGGCTAGTACTGTAATACTTGGGAAGTGGGCATAAATGTATTTATTTGCCAGCACTGCTTGACTCTGTTGATGATAGGAAAATAAAACAAACAAACAAACAAACAAACAAAAAACCAAGCATAAGATTGAAAATAGAAATGTAAACAGCCAAAGTCTACTCTTTGGCAGCTTAGTTCACAGTAAGTAGTTTCCTGACATTAGTTGTGGAATATTAAACAATTTGAAGTTCAGATAATGTTTTTTTTTTTTTGTGGAAGCAGAGTAGGGGGTAGTGATTACAGTCACCAAAATTGAAAGTCAAATGAGAGAAAGTAATTATGTAAATTGTGTTTCTTGAAGGCTTTTAGAATTTTTAATTCATATACTCTAAGTATCTGGAAGCACATTTAGTTCCTGTTTGGAGAGATGAAAGCCTTGCCATAGCCTCATCTGCAGGCTTGTGGCAATGTGAGTTTCTCCCGTGTGTATGTGCAGGGAAGAGTAGAAAGGGCTGAGTGGGCAGTTGGCAGCCATACATCGCATTGATTGCAGTCATTCATAAAACCCAGCAGGGCTGAGGGCGGAGTCAGGAGGAGCATTCCCCTGAGGTGGTTGCAGAATGTCTTATTTGCATAAATCTTCAGTGAGGCTTGAATGATGAGGAGATGCTCACATATTAGGAGACATTAAGAGTCCATGTCTAATAAATCACGGTATAATTAATGACATCTCAAAGAATAAGGGGTCAGACCCTTTGAACTCTTAGTCCCTCCATCCTTGGTAATTCCAGGAAGTCAGCAGTGTTGATGCATTTGTGGTCTCCTAATGTCTGGCTGAAGGAATGAATCATGTATAGCAACAAACTCTTAATAGCTGCAACATTCTGACATATCATTGTCTTGTTTCTTGAAGTATGAGGGGGTCTATACTTAATGTACTTTGTCTAATGCATGGGAGATAATGGAAATTGCTGGAGCTAAACAATTTCCATATATTAGAACTGTCAAAACTATGAAGATTTTATGCCTCCAAACTGACACAATTCAATTATAATTTTAAAGAAATATAAATCCACCCAGGCTAACAAAAATCTTATATTTTATAGTTTTGTTGTGTCTTGTTGGGGGCATAGTATAGTTTTTTCTTTCTTGTACCAAGGAGGAATTTCAGCTCAAAGGAATTCAGGTTTGAAAATATAAGAATATATATTATCATAGTTTAACCACTTCCCCACAATTTTGTTGAAAAATTAGAAATTTGAAACAAAGAGTTACCCTCCTCAAGACTCAGATTTAATAGCTACTGCATTACCCTAGGGTATGTGTTCTATGATCAGCAAATGTGCTAATATAGAAAATGTGATCATTTCCTATTTTTTAAAAAGTACATTTAATTAACTCCAAATGTTGTTTTTGAAGAGTAACATGTATTTTTATTATTCAATAAAACCTTAAAGTTCAGCAATTCAAATCAAGTTTTTGTCAGAAAGATTCTATAGTGTGTACTGACAGAAATATGTTGGCTATTGTCATTTTAAATCCCAAATCACTGGGTACTTAGATTAGATTTTTTTTTTTTTAATGGCCTTTTAGTTAGCAGGGAGGAAAAGTTTGGCTTTAAAACCTACCCCTACTGTTGGGTAAATCTTTGCCTTATTTAGAAAGTAGTTACTTCCAAGCATGTTTAAGAAAAATTCTTAGTGGTAGATTTTCTTTTTCTTAGAGCTTTGTGTAAATATCTGGAACATGAAGGGAGGAAAAAAAGGAACCAAAATTTTTTTTTTATATAATTCAAAATTTTTTCTGAGTTGGTGATACTTAAGATTTTCACAAACCAGTTCGTGTAGGTTAACAAGCCTGCATGTTCTATTTTTAGTTGAATAAGAATTGTTAAAAGATTTTCCAGTACTTCAAAATTTAACTTACTGGACATTGTACCTTGTGTAAGTTAGATTAAAATTTCAGGGCTTTCTTTTCCCTAACAATGGCCTCCCTAAATGTTCTTTTCATGCTGATGTGTGATTGGCCTTCTCCCATTAAGCTGGAATAGTCACATAAATAAGGCTTTGTGGTTCTCAGGGATTTCACTCCTCTCTCTTGACCAATCCATTGAGAGTTTAGCATTTGCTCTTGAGAAATGCCACAATTCTTTACTGTTATCTCAGGAGAAAGGTGTGCAGAGGTTTGAAATGGCACCATTTTCTTTTCTTGTCATGTTATATATTGATTTCTAAGTCTCACTTGACCTTGTTTGGAATGAGCAATGTGTGTGTGCACGTTTCTGTGCGTTGTGTCCACGTTTCCCTGTATCATTTCTTTCAGAAGTGGAGAACTTTGCCACGCAGCTTTTAGTACTGGGAAACAGTTTATCCACTCCTGCTTCACCAGTGATACACTTCTGGAATAACATGACTGGTCCTAAATATGAGCACTGCAGTCAAGTCGCCCCCGTGAAAGTTAAATCAGACTCATGCTTGGGGGTTCTGAATCCTAAGGGACATTTCCATTTAGCAAAATCTAAGAAGTAGGGTTTCAGTTTTATTACCAAGACTTCCTTCCTCAAGGCTGTGTTTGTTTTAAATCATATGAGGAGAAACAATATTTGGCTGGGATGTAGCTCACTGGTAGAATGATTGCCTAGCATGCCAGAGGCCCTAGGTTCAAACCCCAGCACTGGGAGGGAAAAAAAGAAAGGATTAGGAGAAGGATATCTGAGTCATCCAAGTACAGTATAGCCTCAGATTGAAATGTTTTCTGATTTTGGTCAATTAATCTCTTCCATGCTCCATAAATTCACATATGTGAGTAAAAAGACTTGGGATGTAGTTCATTGGTAAGCACTTGTCTGATATTCATGAGGCCCTGGGTTCAATCCCTAGCATTGCAACGAAACAAAACATGAGAATAAAAATATCAACTCCTTCTCCATTTTGGGACTCTCTTATATTGTTTACCCTCTGCATTAACTTATTTTATCATGAAGAACTTAATGCACAAAGACCTTTTATTGTCATAATGTGGAGATATTGTCTCTTACTACACACAAATGCAGGTGCACTTTTTGTATGAACATGTCTTGCCATCTCCTACTTGTAATTAGTATGAAGGGAATTTTGATTGTGGAGAATATCTTAAAGCCTTTCAGGTCTCTTTTTATATAAACAGAAAGACCTATGTGGAGACTAATGGAATGAAACAAGAGTCCATATTTTTTTTTTAGTAAAACTGCCAAAGCCATTGAAAATCCTGCTCGATTTTTAACATATCAACACAACAGCTGTTCCTATTTTTAAGCTTTCAGATGTCTTCATATGGTGAAGCCAAAGCTTTCAATAGCTTTTCTGCTATGGGGAAAGCTGCTGACAATCATTTTATTGATGCTAAAATGAAAACCAAGTACAGAGGCCAGCACAGATTTTATTTGAGTATAACTGAACTCTTAGAAGCATGAGTCAAAGATTTTTAATTCTAGAGGCCTTTCCAGTACCCCATGGTTAATATTGAAGGGGCTTGCAAAGACTTTTCTATAGATTGTGTTTTCAGTACCCTGTTTAATTTCCAGATGTGTTCTACCCTTTTTATAATTAATAGTGCATTATGCTGTCTATCATGCGCCCCAGGTGTGTTGTCAGGGATATGGCGAAGCCTGCTGCCTGCAAAACACCAAGAAATGCTGAAAACCAGCCCCAACAACCTCCACCGTAAGTATAGCATTGGTTTTATTGACTGAAAATGTCGTCTCTTACACAGATCACTGGTTACAGATTTATTAATTCACATTGCATGTGGGAGTAGATATTCTGGCTTCTCTGGTATAATAAAAAGACTACTATTGAATTAGATGAAATTATCTGGAAACATGAGCTCTGGATTAAGTATCTTTAATAACTGACATTTCTAATAACATTGCAGGGATGAAACTAGTTAGAGGAAAGGAAATGTGTTTTAGGGCTATAGAGTAGCAGCAATTCTGGTTTTTGTTTTGGTTTGGTTTGTGTTTTTTTTTGCCAAAGTTTAGATAGGGTGCTGAATGGGGGCCAGAGTGTGTAGGTAAGGAAAATTCATAACTAGCTCATTATCCAACCTTCAGGCTATATTATTTAAAGGTAATGGGACATTCTAAACGAGTGGATTGTCCATCTAGTTTCATTTTTATTAATGCATTCTTAGCTGTAGGTATGAATGATTGACTATTAATTAACCAACAAAAGGGAAAATTAGAAATAGGAAATAAAATATGCAAACTCTGAATTTCAAATGTGAATTTTGATGAGATAAATGTAAATAATTTTAAAATTCTTTATACTAGTGTGATCTATTTAATCCTTTGAATTGTGTTGTGCTCCCAGTTTTAAAAAGTTAAAATTTCCTTCAGGTGTCTCTGAAGCAGCAGTAAGGTTAGTGTAATCATTGTAGTCAAGTAGTTATTCCTGGGGAGAGCCTTCTTCCAAGCTTTGTGGAAGGGACTTTGAAGAAATGTGTCTTCGGATTAACTTTCTATAGATTCCTTTAGTTTATATCATAATTCTCTAAAGGAAAAACCAAAATGAAGTGATAAAGTAGTAAAAAGGCTATGAAGAAAGTTAAATTGTAACTATTTTGCCATAACATTTTATAAGTGAAAGAGAAAATTAATTTAATTTTATATGGAAGATATTTCTATCCAGAGGATTGCATATATCTTGCTACTCTGCACAGTTTTACAGCTATTTACATTGTATCTCATCAAGAACCACATTCAGAACTCTATTTATTTGATTTCTTCTCTACTCCCTGCTTTCCTTGGTGTTTAGTCATAGAAATGCTTATGTTTTGTTTATTACAAACAGTACTAATTAATTTTAGAATATTTATGATTTAGGATATAAAATTGTGTTTTTTATTTTATACTATTCCAATATGTTGGTGCATATTATCTTTACAGAATGGTGGATTTCATTGTGTCATATTCACATATACATAAAACATTATTTGATCAATTTCACTCCCTATTACCTCTCCTGTTCTCTTCCTCAATCCCCCTGATTCCATTCCTTTTCCTTAATCGTTTCCCTTCCTTAATGGTTTCCTTTCTTGGCATCCCGTGTTTTACATGTTATCTTCCATCTAGCTTCTACATGTGAAAGGAAACATATAGTACTTTTATCTCTTGAGTCTGACTTATTTTGCTCAAAATTGTGGTCCCCAATTTCATCTATTTTCCTGTAAATGATACAATTTCATTTTTCATTATGGCTGATTAAAACCTATATATATATATATATATATATATATATATATATATATACACACACACACACACACACACACACACAAATTCACACACAAACACCACATTTTCTTTATCCATTCATCTATTAATGGGCACCCTGGCTGAATCCATAATTTGGCTATTGTGAATTATACTGCATGTATCTATAAAGTATGCTGACTTATATTCTTTTTGGATGAATACCAACGAGTGGTATAACTGGATCACGTGATGGTTCTATTTTTAGCTTTTTGAGGCGCCTTCATACTGATTTCCATAGTGACTTTACCCATTTACATTTCCACTAACAGTGTATTAGAGTTCCTTTTTCCATACATCCTTAACAAAATTTATTGCTATTTGAAGTCTTGATGATTGCCATTCTAACTGCAGTGAAAAGAAATCTCAGGAAGTTTTTTTTTTAATTCTTTTTAGATATACATTACAGTAGAGTGTATTTTGACATACATAACTTATTCTAATTAGGATTCCATTACTTGAGGTTATAGATGATGTAGAATTTCACTGGTCATGTATTCATGTATGAACATGGGAAAGTTCTGTCTGATTCATTCTACTCTTACCTATTCCCATCCCTCCTCACTTCATTCTCCTTTGTCTAATCCATTGAACTTCTGTTTCCCGCCCCTCTCCCTGATTTAGCATCCACATATCAGAGAGAACATTTGACCATTTTTGGCAGGGAGATTGGCTTATTTCGCTTAGCATGATAGTATCCAGATCTATCCATTTACTGGCAAAATCATAAGTCTTTCTTTTTTATGGCTATAATCTCAGGTAGTATTTACATTTTTCCTGATGGCTAATAATGTTGAACATTTTTCATATATTTGTTGGTCATTGGTACTTCTATTTTTAAGATATGTCTGTTCAGTTCATTTCTGCATTTACTGATTTTTTTGTTTGTTTTGTGTGTTTCTTTTTAGTATTGCATCTTTCTGAGTTCTTGTTGAGTCTTTATGAGTTCTTTATGTATTCTGGATAGTAGACCTCAGGCAGAGGAACAGCTGGCCAAGATTTTCTCTCATTCTATATCTTGTCCATTCACTCTGTTGATTGTTTCTTTTGCTGTGCAGAAACTTTTTAATTTGATGCAATTTCACTTATTGATTCTTGCTTGTTTACTAAGCTCTAGGGATTCTATCCTCCTGTAGGTCTTTGTGCCTATATGCTGAACTGTTTTTCTTATTTTTTAAACAGTTGCATAGTTTCTGGTCTTATATTTAGGTTTTTGATCCATTCTGAGTCACTCTAATACTAAGACCAGCTAAGGACACTATGAAGGAAGGGAAACTGCAGACCTATTTAGTTGATGACTCTAAATGCAAAAATACTCAATAAAGTGTTAACAAATCAAATTCAAGAGCACATTATGAAAAGCATACACCATGATCAAATTGGTTTCATCACAGGGATACAAGAATGGTTCAATATCTGCAAATCAATAAATGTAATACAGCACATAAATAGAACCAAGGACAAAACCACATGATTATCTCAATAGATGCAGAAAAAAATCCTTCAACAAAATCCAACACTGCTTCATGATGAAAACCCTAAAGAAACTAAGGACAGACATAACTTATCTAAACATCGTAAAGGCTATGTATAACAAAATTAGCATCTTGCTGAATGGGAAAGAACTGAAAGCAATTTCTCTTAACATCAAGAACAAGTCAAAGATGTTCACTCTTATCACTCCAATTTGTTATATTGAAATTTTATGTGATTGAATTGAAATTCAATGTCATTGAAATTTTAGCCAGAACAATTAGGCAAGAGAAAGAAACAAAAGGGGTATAAATAGGAAAAGAAGAAGCTAAAGTATCCCTATTTGCAGATGGTATGATCCTATACTTAGAAGATCTTAAAAGTCACACTGGAAGACTTCTAGTGCTAATAGAAAAATTCAATAAAATAGCTAATCAAAAAATTTAGTTGTAGCCCAGAATCAACATATAAAACTCAATAGCTTATCTATATATCAATAATGAAAATGCTAAGAAAGAATTCAGGAAAATAATTCTGTTCACAACAGCTTAAAAAAACACCCTAGGAATAAACCTAATAAAGGAGGCAAAAGACCTCTACAATGAAAATCATAGAACACTGAAGAAAGAGATTAAAGATGCTACAAGATCAAAAGACCTTCCATGTTTATGGATAGGCGGAATTTATGTTGTTAAAATAACCCTATTACTAAAAGAGATCTAGAGATTCAGTGCAATCCCCATTAAAATACCAGTGATAGTCTTCATAGAAATAGTGGGGGAAAACAATCCTAAAATTCATACGGCAGAACAAAAGATCCAGAAGAGTCAGACCCATTCAAGGAAGCATCATAATACCCAGTTTCAAATTATTCTGTAGATCCCTATAACAAAAACAACATGATACTTGCATAAAAACAGACATGTAGACCAATGGATCAGTATAGAAGAAACAGAGAAAATCCCACACAGCTACAGTCGTCTGACAAAAGTGACTAAAAGTAACATCAAAAAAATCCATTGGAGAAAAGGTAGCCTCATTAACAAATGGTGCTGGGTAAACTGGATATTTGTATGTAAAAGAATGAAATGAGATCCCTGTCTCTCATCCTATACAAAGCGATATGATATTTTAAAATAAATTTCCAGAGGCTAAATAGATATTATAGATTTTTTATTTCAATAATATATTTGCATATCATCTTCTTCATTGAATCAGCATTTTCCAAGGAATAAGAATAATTTTGATTTACCATAGTAAAATTATTTATAATTACTTCAATAAAATTAAAAACTTGGAAGAAGTACTGTTAATGTTGCTGCCATATTTCTTTTTCTGTATTTTCATTTATTTAATATTTTGAGGCAAATTTTGGCTGTGTTGCCCAGGCTGATCCCAAACTCTTGAGCTTAAGCAGTTTCCCACCTCAGCCTCCTGAGTAGTGGGACTACAGGCATACACCACTGCACCCAGCTTCTTTTTCTATAAATGCTCTTACTGTAAAATCATTTTCCTGTGATGGAACTTATCTTGATAATTCGCAGAAAACTTATGATTCTCCCTTCTCATATTATGTTCTAGGAATTAGGAAACTTTACTTCTAGTAGGATTCAAGTAATTTCTGGGAAAGTTCTTTGAAGAGGTAACATTGATTTTAAAATCTGTTCTGTTGTATATATTGAGGTTCCATTTTAATTGGTCCCATTTATTCCAAAGTGCACTTTAAATTGGACTTTATTAGATATGAAGTGATCATTTTCACTTTTTTCAGTAAGGTTCCAGATCTATTTGCTTTCTTCCTTTCTCTTTCAATTTCCAAATATTTATAGTTGTGGAACTCTTGTCACAACTTAATTGAGCCTAGTAAAACTATGGCAAACAAGAACAAGCAACTAGGGGCTCTTTTAATCTTTCTTTCTTTCTTTCTTTCTTTCTTTC